TTTTATTTTTGGCCTTTTTTGGCCTGCTCAGTTAAAACTTGTTGATAATCCTAATAAAAAGCAACTTTTTTCTGATTTAGCTCAATTCAAAAGCTAATTTTTATATTTTTTAAAAATATTTTAATTTGTTCATCTTTTTTTTTTAATATATTAGTAATCCTCCTATTTGCCTCTAAAATGGATGATAGTGTAAGATTATTTAATCTTGAAAGTTCAAAAGAAGAGGAATTTTTAAAAAATCTGTTAGATGAAGAAGAAGAGTTAGAGGATTTTGAAGATGAAGATGTTACAGATACAGAAGAAACCACAGAGTTTCATCAAGACAATTCAAATACAGAAGAAAAACTTACAAATACTGATTTTAATGAAACAATTAATAATAACAATTTTTATGTTGGAAAAAAAGATGCTAACTCTAAAGAATCCTGTTTAATAAAATATTAAACTGATGAATTGTTATGCGCATCAATTTGATACAATGCGCCTTCCCGAGTTAAAAAATGATTGCACCAGATGGAGGGTTAAATGTTTGAAGTTGATGCAAAATATTTACCATCTTCCTCTTTCTTTCTTACATTCAATTTTTTTTTAGGTGTAAACTTTAGCATAAAAACGTAAATCTTTATATTAAATTCAGCACCCACTCAGAATTATGCTTTTTTTTAAATAATATTTTTATAATGAACAATCAACAACGTTTCATGCAGCCAGGCAATTTTCTAAATTTTTGATTTTGGCTTACCCTAATATATATATATATATATATATATATATATATATATATATATATATATATATATATATATATATATATATATATATATATATATATATATATATATATATATATATATATATATATATATATATATATATATATATATATATATATATATATATATGCAGTATTGGACAAAACAAGTGCAACCAATTAATGCTAATTTAGTTTCTTTATATAAAAGTGCTGCATTTTTTCAATTTAGAGAAATAACTATGTAACTGTTTAGAGACAACGTTCTTCAAGTTTTATTCATCACAAAGTTCATTATTTGTACATGAAAATTAATAAATTAATCAAAAGCATTAAAAAAAGTTGATTTCCTTCTGGACAAAACAAATGCAACTCCACTAAATGTTGACCAAGCTGTATTTCGCTATCAATATTTAGTGGCGAATCTTTGTTGTCGATCACAGCCTTGCATCTTCGTGGCATAGATTTGATCAGGTGATCAATGAAACTTTGTGGAATCGCTGCCCAGGCCTTTTGTATTTGTTCAAACATTTGATCCTTCTTACGAACACCTTCATGATAAAATCTGCGGTTGATGATCTCCCACAGGTTCTCGATAGGGTTGAGATCCGAAGATTGATAGCTGGTTGTCTTGCAACCGATAGCTGGTTGTCTTGAAACCATGGCTTGACTGGTTGTCTTGAAACCACTGCTTGACTACTTTTGCAGTGTGTTTTGGATTGTTGTCTTGCTGAAAAACCTATTATATCGACATATTTCATTCAGCATGAGGTAACATAATATCTTTCAGGATATTTTTATATTGAAATGGTACATTATTCCATCGATTCGATGTATTAGCAGAAAAACACTCCCAGACCATTACATTGCCTCGACCATGCTTCACGATCTTATGGCAGTAATGTAAATTGAGGCGTTTTCCTGCTGTTCAACGTACACGGTAAATGCCATCGCTCCCAATGATGTTGAACTTCGATTCATCACTGAACAGGACAGTTCGCCATTTCTGCACATTCCAGTCAATATGAGATGTAACAAACAGGAGTCTTTTCTTCTAATTCTTTGTGAAATAAGCGGTTTCTTTGCAGTGCATCGAGAAAACAATCGGTCCGATACAGGCAGCTCTAATTGCTTTTGTATCTCGACTGATGATATCCAGGGATCCTTCTTGACGGATCTGACAATCATAGAATCCTCTCTAGGAGTGGTGGAATGCAGTCTTCCACCTTTGTTATCTGCTGCCAACTTTCCCGTAGAACAATATTTGTAACATAGTCTTGATACGGTCCATGAAGTCATAAAAATAATAAAAATAAATAATCACGCTTTTCAAGGCTTACCGTGTTACATTTACCTTGTGATGATACAATAATGCTCTGTTGAACAAAACATCTTAGTTGGATGTGGACTGTATTGATGTAATGAAACACTTGTTGTATTTCACTTCTTGTATTGATGTTCTTCTATAAAACACTTTGATAAAATTCACTTTGATAAACTGTTTTAATAATACTGACTGATTGACTTCCATATACTGACTGAATTACATGTCGGTTTACATGTCTCTTATATAGTAAAATGAACCTGTGTGAACCTGTTCTGGAAGATTCTAGATGCTTCTTTTCGATGCTTCTGGAAACTTCTGGATGCGTCTGGATGCTTCTAAATGTATCTGGATACTTCTGGATGCTTCTGGATGCTTCCAGATGCTTCTTCTGGAAACTTCTGGAAGCTTCTGCATGCTTCTGGAAACTTCTGGATACTTCCTTTAGTTATTAAAAAACTTCCGTGACGTTGACACGGACCAGACTTGAAACAAACAAAAAATGAAACAAGCCAAAAAAGTTGCACTTGTTTTGTCTGCTGCAAAATGGCACTTGTCAATGAAATTCTGCCTGTGTGCTGTCACCTGTCAGCTGATTGCTCATGTCATGACATGTTATGACTCCAGACTCCTGAACTGTTTGCTGTGGTAGTATAGTTTGTTTCATTTTTAAGACATGTAAAATTATGAACACTTTTTAGGATTGTTCTATGTTGGTTGCAAATGTTTTGTCCAATACTGTACATACACTATTGCATAGTCGTCTTTACTTTTTACTATAAATTTTAAACTTTGTGTTTTTCTTTTAATTAATTTAAAAGACCGGAAAAGATTTTCCTCAGTCAATATAGCACATACATTTTTTATCTATTTGTTTATCAATGTAGCAACATTACTTGCATGTTATACTTTTGTCAGTTGATATAGCAGCACTCCTCACATGATCTATCTATTTGTCACTTGATGTATGTTAACAGTTAAAAAGTAAAATTTAAAACATTCAGAATGTTTTTTTTTTTTAATTTTAAATTTAAAAAATTACAGTTTATTAAATTGTGTTTTTGTGGTTTTTTAAAAAAATAAAATTTAATTTGTTTGCTTAATTAAAATTAATGGTTTTGACATAAAGTGTACTTAATTTTGCCTTTAAACAAAGTCATTAAGAATCGTTTTTTTACCACAAACAGTAAAGATGTCAAACTAAAAGAATACTAGAAGTAAAACTAGATGATCTACTAGAAGATGTCAAACTAGAAGAAACTAAAAGAAGAAGAAAATTAGATGTCAAACTAAAAGAATGCATATATAAATATAAATATAAATATACATATATATATATATATATATATATATATATATATATATATATATATATATATATATATATATATATATATATATATATATATATATATATATGTAATATATAGCTGTAAAAGATAGATACAGACATCAGAAAATGTATTTTATGTTAAATTTATACTTCAGCTCGTTTCATGTGGAAAAATATGCATGCAAAGTGTTTTTTATGACAATATTTACAAAGCTGGTCTTACATAAAAACAGGATAATAATTGTCACTGTATTTTATATCAAATAAAAACATGGTAAACAAATAATGGTGCACATGAGCATGAAGTTGTTGTTGTAATGAAAATATTTTTTGGCGACAAAAAATTAACTTTTAAACATTTATGTCAGCTGAATCAAATAAAACAAAAACAAATAAAAAAAAATTAAAAGAGTGCCAATTAAAATGCAAATTTTTTTATTTAGAATAAAGTAACTGGTTGTTTTTTTAAATGAAAAATCAGTTTTTTTTAAAAATGCCTTTATGAAAAAATAAATTAATAACATCGCGTAATTAGAATTGGCTACTATAATTGGTTATTATTAATTTAAAACCAAATATCTATTGTTTACATTGCCAAAAACAAGTTAATCCAAACTGCTGAAATAAAAAAAAAATAAAGTTTTAACCTTCTCCAGTAAAAAATCTGTAGTGCAGATGCGCAGTATTATCTATTGCTAATTTTACCTTCTTTAAACAAGGAGTGCCATTAAAATCGTTTTTTACCACAAAAATTTAGATGTCAAACTAAAGGAATATATGTAACCCTATATATGTAATACATAACTGTAAAAGGTAGATACAGACATCAGAAATGTATTTTATGTTAAGCTTATACTTTTTAATAAAGAAAATATTTTTTGAGACCAAAAGTCAACTTCTAAATATTTATGTCAGCTGAATCAAATAAAACAATATCTATATCTATATATCTATATATATATATATATATATATATATATATATATATATATATATATATATATATATATATATATATATATATATATATATATATATATATATATATATATATATATATATATATATATATATATATATATATATATATATATATATATATATATATATATATATATATAAATATAGATATAGATATAGATATAGATATAGATATAGATATAGATATAGATATAGATATAGATATAGATATAGATATATATATATATATATATATATATATATATATTATATATATATATATATATATATATATATATATATATATATATATATATATATATATATATATATATATATATATATATATATAGCTATATTGTGGACATTGCTTCAGATTAGGTAAGATCATTTTGCTACTGGTTTCATATAATCTAATACAAAACTATTATCTGCCTCATATGAGGCAGATAATAGTTTTTATGTTTATTAATCAAACATAACTATTGTGGATGTCATAAAATTATTGGCATATTTTAAAATGTGGTTATAGACTGTCATCTAGTTTCAATAGAATTTTTATCAAACTTCAAAAATGCAAACATTAAAAATTTATAATAAAAGACTTTTTAACAGTTTTAATTTTTTTTCAGAGACTTGTTGTTAACAGTTGATGGAAGCATAAAAGAAGTTGGTCAAAACATCACAAATAAACAATTAGCAAACACTCTTCGAATGATTGCGAAAAATCCAGAAGATTTTTACACAGGACCTTTAGCAGAGAACATTGTAAAAGATATTCGTGATGCTGGAGGTATAATTACTTTAGATGATCTTGCAAACTATAAAGTTATTCAAAGGAAAGCATTAGTAAATGAGCTAGGAGATTTAATTTTATACACCACATCAGCACCAACTGGTGGACCAATAGTGGCCCACATTCTTAATATTTTGAAAGGTAAATTGTTATCAAAGTTTTATGTTTATTTATTTTTTATTTTGGATCTTGTTAACAATAATTAAATTCAAGTTAATATAAATTCATAAGTTTTATTATTCATATCATTCATATCATTCACACCCTCGCACCCCTTCTCCATCTATTAGGCTGGCGCAGATGTATTTTTAATACATTGTTTCCAGTTTAGGATGTTGAACGCTAGATCTTCTTGACTCGATGCATGGGTTTTGCTTGTGTCTCTGTTTTTATGACTAGGCAACTCATTCTATTATCTCCAAATGAGGGTACAGCTCTAAGTTTTATGGTACAGTTTTATGGTTCTGAGGCCGGCTGGTAGTCAAGTTTACCGAACTCTGTCGTAGCTCTCAGAGAGGCTGATTCCATCAACAGCTGAAAAATATACTAACATTGTAGTATATTTTTCAGTGAGTACTAACAGTGCCATGTTGCGCATGGATGGTGTCCCTGTTTGTACTTTTGGTGTGCATTGCCAAGGCCACATTGGAGCCCTTTGTTACAGCTTAGGGTTTATTAGTGGAAATGAGGCAATTGCTTGGGCTATAAAACAGTGTACTGAGTACTATCTATGTTTCGAGTCAAGTTCTTTAACAAATTTAAAAATAAATAAAGTAACAAAAACTAAAAAACACAAAAAACCACAGTCATTGTCAAGTTCGCTAAACCTATCATTCACCAATATTCATGGTCTTCGAAGTAACTTTTCTTCTGTTGAGTCTTATCTCTTGCAAAGTTCACCAGACCTACTTGCTCTTTGTGAGACTAATTTGAGTTCAGCTGTCTCATTTTGTGATCTTAGTGTTGATGGTTATGTTCCTTTAATTCGTAAAGACTCCAATAGTCACATGCTTGGCCTAGGCATTTACATTTGTAAGAATTCACCCATTTGTGGAAAACTAGATTTGAATCCACAGACTACTCTTTTATGTGCTTTCATTTAGCACCACTTCACTCTATCACCTTTCTCTTTGTTCTATATCGCTCTCCTTTATCACAAGACTGCACTCTTCTTGATGTTATTTCTGATTATATTGACCAAACCCTCATTCTTTATCTATCAGCCAATATTGTTGTTGTTGGTGACTTTAATGTTCATTACACTGAATGGCTTGGCTCTAGTGTCAGTGACTCTGCAGGCATTAAGGCCCACTACTTTTGCCTTTCTCAATCCCTAACTCAAATAGTCAACTTTCCAACTGGCTTTCCAGACAACCCGAATCATTTACATTCTCTACTCAAACTTATGTCTTGTTTCTAATCCTAGTCAGTGCTTAGTTTGTTCACACTCACCCTTAGGTGCTTCTGATCATGGTTTGGTCTCTCTAAAACTGTTATCTCATTCTTCTTTACCATCAGAATCCCCCTATCATTGTACATCTTACAACTACCTTAAAGCTGACTGGGACTCTTTCCGTGATTTTCTTTGTGATGGCCCCTGGGTAGAAATCTTTTGTCTTCCTGTTGACAAATGTGCTTCTTACATAACTTCGTGGATTCAGGCTGGCATGGAATCCTTTTTTCCTTCTTGACGATTCCAGGTCAAGCCTGACTCTTCTCCATGGTTTTCCTCACATTGTGCTGCTGCAATTGCTAATCGAAACCATTACTTCCATATCTATCAGCAAAACAATTCTCCAGAAAACAGACGTCTGTTTATTACTGTTAGGAACCATTGTAAAAAGGTTTTGTCTAACGCCAAAGCCCGCTATTCTCAGAACATGAAATCTCGTATTTTATCACAAAAATTAGGCTCTTGTGACTTCTGGAGAATCTTTAATAGTATCAATAATAAGGGCAAGTCTGTAATTCCACCTCTTTTGTACGGTTCAGACTTTGTCACCTCCCCTAAAGACAAAGCTGAATTGTTTGCCAAAAACTTTTCATCAATATCATCTCTGGATTCCTTTAGTTGCGTTCTACCTGATATAGCCGTCAAACAGGTTGATCCACCGTATCACTCCAGCTTCTGTATCTGAAGTGATTTCCTGCTTAGACTCTTCTACAGCTTGCGGCCCGGACAACATACCTGTTATAGTCTTGCAGAAGTGTTCTCCGGAGCTGTCGTGTATTCTTTCAAAACTATTTAACAAGTGCATATCAGAGTCTTGTTTTCCAGCCTGCTGGAAAGCAGCATCTGTTATCCCTATTTTTAAAAATTCTGGAGAGTGATCTGATTCGTCTAACTACCGTCCCATTAGTCTTCTTCCTATCATTAGCAAGGTTTTTGAACTTTAATTAACAAACACTTAATATCTCATCTCAAATCTCATAACCTACTTTCTGATCATCAATATGGATTTCGATTTTCTTGTTCTACGGCTGATTTGCTAACAGTAATAACCGATAGGTTTTATCGCGCATTAGATAAAGGTGGAGAAGTTAAGGCCATCGCTCTTGACATTTCTAAGGCGTTTGATAAAGTTTGGCATGCTGGTCTTCTCCATAAGCTTTCTTCTTACGGTGTATCTGGAAACATCTTTAAGATTATCGAATCCTTCCTTTCCAATCGTAGTATAAAAGTTGTCCTCGATGGACAGCACTCTTCTTCAAAAACGCATTGTAAACATAGTTGAACCTACTCTTGCAGCCAACCTTCAACCTCTGTCACATCGTCGTAATGTTGCTTCTCTTTCTCTTTTCTACAAATACTATAATGAGCACTGCTCTAAAGAGCTAGCGTCTCTTGTGTCATCTACAAAAATTCATTCTTGTGTTACTCGTCATTCAATTAAGTCTCATCCTTTTTCTGTTACTGTTCCTAAGTACTCCAAAAACTCTTATTCGTCTAGTTTTTTTCCTTGAACATCAGTTCTTTGGAATTCGTTTCCTTCATCTTGCTTTCCTGATTCATATAATTTGCAATCTTTTAAGTCTTCTGTCAATCGTTATCTTGCTCTACAATCTTCATCTTTTCTCTTCCAGTAACTTCCAGCACTAATTAGTGGTTGCTTGCAGGCTTGTTGGAAGCGAAGATGTTAAAAAAAAAAAAAAAAAATGTTTTCTTAAGTTTTGTATCAATTAATAAGTAAGTATTTAAATATTATATTTTAATTAATAATTAATATTATTTAATATATTTGATAGTAAATTAATATATTTGAATTAATTATTAATTAATTTATAATTAAAATAAAAAATTTTATAATTTATTTGTAGATTTATTATTGATAAATATATAATAATGCATTAGAGCTATTGGAAGCTATATTAAGTTTTAGTTTTATTTCTCATTAATTTATATGCTTTATTATATTTTAAACATTAAAAAAAGAATTGAATTTAAAATGTTTGCATTTAGGTTATGGTTTTACCGAAGAAGACCTCAAAGATAATGAGAAAGCTGTTTTAACGTATCATAGAATAATAGAAGCATTTAAGTTTGGTTATGCTCAAAAAACAAAGATGGGGGATCCTAATTTTTTAGAAAAAGATTCCCTAAATCAGGTCTTTTTTTCATTATTCTTCTTTTAAATTTTTACAAAACTTTACTTTAAAGGTTAGTTTTAGTACAAAATTAGTTAATAAATAAATAATAAAAAAAAACAAAATAAATTAATTTCTTTTGTTACAGTGGCTTCAAAATATGACAAGTTTAGATGTTGGTACTTATTATCGTCTAAAAATTACAGACTATTTAACTCATAACATTAGTTACTACGGAGCAGAATTACCACCTCCAACTGATCGTGGTACAACTCACCTGAGCATATATGCTGCCAATGGGGATGCAGTATCATTAACTTCAACAATTAATGATTGGTATGTGTGTCTTTTTTAAGTCATTATATAAGGTATATTTATTTAGTTAAAAATTTTATCTTTTTAATCTCATTTTAAGTATATAGTTTTATTTATCTTTTTTCAATTTAGGTATGGCTCTGGTTTTCGGTCACTTACAACTGGAATATTATATAATAACGAAATGGATGATTTTAGCACTCCCGGTCAAAACACAAGATTTGGGTATCCACCTACCGCAGCTAACTATATTAAGCCAAATAAACGTCCTGTTTCATCAATGGCGCCTGTAATAATGACAGATAGACTTGGTGATGTTAAGTTAGTCATAGGTGGATCTGGAGGTCCAAAAATTATTACTGCTGTTGTTCAGGTACATGTTTGAAAAAGGTGTTGATAAATAGTATATGTATATATATATATATATATATATATATATATATATATATATATATATATATATATATATATATATATATATATATATATATATATATATATATATATATATATATATATATATATATATATATATATTGTAGTAATTTGATAAATTGCCTCAGCAAAAAAAAGCCGAGGTTATATATTTCAAAATTTTTTTAAAGAAAATTATATTTTTCTAGCCATTAAGCAATATAGAACCTTTTGCTGCTCAAGTGACTATATTTATATGTAGATATGCATATATAGCGTTTTTAATCATATTAATATCCTTTTCTCTAGGGCATAATGTACAAAACATGGTTTAATGATGATCTTGGACAAGCTGTGATAAGACCTCGAATTCATCATCAGCTGATACCTAACATTGTTGGAGGTGAATCTAATCGAGCCCTACCTCAAGTTGTAAGTGATGGACTTTCGAAGATTGGCCACGAACTTCGATATGTAGTTAAACCAGAGTATTCAGCTATTCAAGCAATTTACGTTGAAAAACCTGGTGAAGTATATGCAAAATCTGATCCTAGAAAATATGGACATAGTTCTGGATATTAAGCTAAAATTATTCAATAGATATAGAAATCTAAATATTTAATAAATATTTTGGTTCTCGTTATTATTGGTTGATATCAATAATAATTTATACCGACTAAAGAGTTCAATACTATTTTAAACGAATAAATTTTTTTTTCACTTTATATAAAAAATTTTTATGAAGCATTAATTTTTTAATATTGACACTATAAAATCTCTAACTTCTTTTCGTTTGAATATTTTGTTTTAATATAAGCTATACAGATAATATTTTTCCAGGTAAACAACGTTTATAAAATATTTGATAAAAAGCGTCAATTCTATATACGGTTATATATAGTCAATTTAATATATGGTTGACCATCATAATATCGTATTTTATGAAATATGAAAGTTAACTTAATTATAGGCTGCAATCAATTAAGCTAGATTTTTCCATTTTAAAACTGTTTTAATAAGAAATCCTATATATCTTTTAATTAAGAATTTTTATATATTTTGGCAACACTTTTAATATTTTACTTTAATCTGATAACTAGAGAACGTGATTTGTTTTACTTATTATATTTTATTTTATGTTAATGTATTTACTCGATTGCAATTTTACTATGTAAAAGTTGTATACCTAAATACTTTAGGAGCATCCCTCAGAAGTTTTTTGGTATTCTGGGTATTTTAACACTTTTGAGAGCTAAACAATTTAGTATTTTGGAAATGATATAAATTAGGTATTATATTTTAGAATTAAGTTCTAGTATTTATTATAAGAGTATTGTAGAGTTGATATGGTGAATCTAAATGCAGCTGGAGAAATGTTTTTTCTTTTAAAGATTAAGGGAAAAGTTTAGAACTCCCTCTACCGTGTGAAACCGTAACTTTTCAAAAGAAAAAAAATTGGGTCTTGACTACAATTTTAAGTATCACGACATAAATATCGCGGAATAAATCTTGCTTAAAAGTATTGATTTTTTTAAATAAAAGCTTTGAAAGCGAGATGAGTAAAAGAATTTGTGATGTCTAAATATTGTGGCATGTAATGCCACAATATTTAGACATCACATTTAGACAATAAAAATCTTACAGATCTTAATAAGATTTGCAAGATTCGTCACTCTGGGTTGTGTAGTTAATTTTCTTTTCCTATTTAAAATCATATTTTATTTGAGATACGAATTTATTTTAAATAGGATAGCCACTATCATGTTCTTAGTTTTTATAGCGTCAGTTCCTTGCAAAAATTAAAATATTTAATGGCAGTTCTAGCAGTTACTTACGTTTTGATTTTTTTGATTTTTTTTTTAGAAATATTTTTTTTATTTTAACAGATTAGATTGTATGAATAATCACAAAATTTTTTTTTTTCCTGCATATTGCAAATTCGTTTAATTATAAGTTTAGGTATTATAGTCGATTTTATGGAGTGTTACTTACGGAACGCAAAAAAACAATGCGTTAAACCTGTTGTTTTCAGTTGAATATTTCAAGCCGAATATTTAAGTTTCTTAAATTAAGTAGTTATTATACTGCAAATTATTTTAAAAAAACTGTTTTAGTCAAATTTATATATCTTAAATCAACTATAGTTAATTACGGGGATTTTTCTACGCTTTTATTAAAATGTAGTTTAGCTACTATTGAATCCATTTTTTATCGAAAAATGATTTCCGGAATTCTCGGAATTACATGAAATAAATTCCGATTTTTTTATTTTTTTATTTATTTTGGTGCCCTTGCGGTCTTATCAGAAAGCAGTCTTATCACCGCGGACGAGTATTTAATTAGAAGTTCACGCCTCCTTCCTAACTAATGTCGCAAAACTTCCCCAGAGGTGCATTTGAACCATGGATGCATTGTTTGACGCAAGTGCGTTACCATTGCGCCACGGCTACTCAATATATATAATTACAGAATTGCAAAAAAAAAAATCAATAGAAAAACAAAGGTTTCAAAGTATTTCAAATTAATTAAAATTAAATTTTTTTTAAGTATCTCAGTAAAACAAAACAAATTAAAAAATAAATAAATAAATAAATAAATAAAATCAACAAACTAAATTCAATGAGAAAAATAAAAAATATATAAAACTTTTTATTTTTAATTTAAAAAAAAAATGTTTTTTAAAAAAACTTTTTAGCATACACAATTTATCTAATGTCATATTATTAAGACTTGACCTGATTTTTGTTGAAAATGTTCCTGCGGCAAACGCTTTCTCTGCTCCAACACTTGTTGGAAGGATACACAACAGATAAATTGTAAATATTTTCTAAAAGTGGTCCACGCGACCCACTTTCGTCCCAAAATTTAATTTCATTTCGTATTGCTGAATGAATTGATAGGTTTTTTCAAAGTCTTTGTTGTCGGGTGTAAAGGTGACGGCTGCATTTTTTGCTGTAACAATTTCGCAAAAGAAGGGGGAAGTTTTACTTTAGTTAGGTTCAGGTTCAGATTCTAATTTAGAATCAGATTCAGAATTCGTTAAATCGACTTCCGGAGAAGTTTCATAATTAAGACGTCGGGCTGGGATTAGAATAAAGTTATTTAATTCTATTTTAAAACGAACAGTAATACTCTTATGAATTTCTTTTTTCCCTCTATTGCCATTAGGCAGATACTGTAAAACATCAGATAAAATAGTTATTTTTCGATTAATTTGGATTTCTAGCTCTTTTTTCAATGCAAGGCCAGTTTTATTATCCTAACCTAAGTTTTGTAACGTAAACGTAAATGTTACATCCGCAGAAATTAAGTTGGCGTCAGCACAGTATAACGCGTCAACAGCTAATTCATATAAAATTATGTCCGCATTGATATCAATTAGCGCTTTCTTTAATAAAAATTTTAAAACATTTAAACAATCTAACATGAACAACATGCTGGTCCATCTACTTTTCGAATCTAACACAAGGTTTAGCTCTATTTTACAATCTTGCTTCACGTATTTTTAAAGTACTTCATTTTTCTAAGGCGAACGACGGAATACTTTAACACATTTTCGCAGTTTTGTGATCAATACTTGTAGCTGGAAATTTTTGGTGGTTTTTATCTGTTCTATTTCCCATGTCTAGCTGCAATCCATTTTCATCATCCTCGTTTTCACTAAGATTTTCTTCATAGGATTTAAAATTTAGGTAACTTTCATTATTGTATTCCTCTTCCTATACTTCAGCTTGCTTCTTATAGAATATATTTACCGTAGCAATTTGAATTGCACGGGCAAAACATAAAATTTTTCCACAAGGCAGCAATCTACCCATCTTTTGCATTGTTGAGGCACCGTCAGTCACAATGCACAAAATATGGTTGCGAACATTTAAGTTCGAAGCTTTTTTTCAAACAAATTTACATAACCCTCAGCCGCAAATCAGCCATTAATATGAAATAGCTCCTAATTCCAAACATGACATCATTATCCATGTCCGTTAACATTCATAGAACGCTGGTTATGAGAAGTCCACTCGCCAAGTGTGACACAGAAAAATACCTCCTTCTTTTTTTGGGAAATTAATTCTGCAATTATTGATTAGCAAACTTTTTCGATGAAGTTCATTACAACCTTTGGTATACTGGTGTGTGATTTAGGAACATCAAATTCACGCACTTTTAAACATTTTCTAAAATCGTTTCAAGTACAAAAAAAGTAAAACGATAATTTATCTGAGGCTACCATTCTAGATATTACTGAAGCAAAACTTTCGTCTACTTTTGAAATATAAAAATCTTTTAAAGATTTATTTTTCTATATAAATTAACAGCACTTGAACCAGCAACACTTGAGTAATTATTAGTTTTTTGTTTGTTTAAACCTTGTTGTACTTTGCTCGCAAATTAATATGCATTGGTGTCGTATATCCAATATCTTTAAAGTCTGCTTACACTGTATGCATTTTGCCACTTGATTTTTTATCTCTTGTGAAAAATAATTCCACACCAAATTTGATGAGTTCTTTTTTGATACATTAACAAAAATTTCGTTTGCTAATCCGACACCTAGAGATTAAATTTAATTATACACAATAAATATATGCATATTTAATTATACACAATAAATATATGTTAATATGTTAAAACCATATAATAAGTTTTATTGGTTTTAACATTGCATAATAAATATATGCAATGTTAATATGTTAAAACCAATAAAACTTTACTTATAAGCTTTGAACTGGAATTATATAATAGATGTTATATAAAAAATATTTTTAAAACTAATGTATATTTAGGCAACCTGCTTGTTCACATTTTCACAATAAAATTTTTTCGCTGTTGTTTCAATAAAAGCAAAATATAAAATTAAAATTCAAAAAAAGCTAACAATATAAAAATAAATGAATTTCGGCTCGGCGATATTCATTTATTTTTTATAAGCAGAAGACGTATATTATTGGAAGACAATATACGTCTTCTGCTTGCTCCGGCCATTTATTTTTACATGTATGATCTTTTTTATTGTAAATTTTATTAAACGGCAAAGAAAATAAAAAATAAATAAAATAATTCCGAAATTCCAAAATCCAGACTTGGAATCCCTAGCTACCATTTATATATAAAATATGACGCAAGACTTTAATTTGGAATTAAAAACAAAAAAATAACACAAATAACATTTAATCAAAATTTAAATTTTTTAAACATATGGCAACCCAACAACTTGGTTTTTCTTTGAATTGTTTTTTTTTTTACCGAAATAACTCACTTGATCGTGGGACTTTATTTACTTATAAGTAAAAAAATGAGCGTGGGACTTTTTTTTACTTATAAGTAAAAAAAAACTTTTTTTTCAAGGTGGCTTTACCCTTTTTTACTAAATTCAAAAAAATATATAAACAAAGTAAAATGACTTGATATAAACAAAAAAGATTTGCTAAGTAATAATAGAAAGTTAACAACTTTACAATGTTACAACTAGTAGTACATAAGTACGTTGTCCATGGAAAGAGTAAAACTTTTAAGTTTAGCTTTAAAAACAGGGTAAGAAGAAGGCGAATCAAAATTTTGCAAAATAACCTTATTCCAAAGATATGGTGCACAATAGTCAATACAAAATTAATTAAATTTGGTTCGACAAAAAATTTGGTTTTGCAAATCATAATTTCTTAGGGTATATTTATTGACAGGTTTTAAAATAAATATATTTTTAAAAACGTTGGAAACTAAATTATTTATCCACATATATACAAAACATAAGATATTAAATACATTTAATTCATATATATTAAGTAATCTCATTTCGTTGAATAAAGGCTTCGAATGAGTAAGACGATCCGCAAAATTAATAAAACGAATCCTAGCTAACACACTTACATTGGGCCAACGTATGTAAAACCATCGCGAACGTTGGCTCTTTTTTCCAATGCAATACCAACGTTGATCCAATGTCATTTGGTTAATGATAAAATTATTACCGACGGAACTAAAAACACCTGGCAAATTTACATTGGTACAATGTATGTAAATACATCGCAAAAAGTTGATTGTTTTTACGAACTAAACCGAACGTTGATCCAATGTATGTGCTATTGCAAAATTATATAACTTAAATAAAATCTTCGGTGATTATTAAAATATCAAACCACAATCAAATCAAACATGATTTTTGTCCGAACGATCAAGCGTTATCAACCTCAAGAATGTATATATTGCTTATATCAGCTGTATACATACATACATACATACATACATACATACATACATACATACATACATACATACATACATACATACATACATACACGCATACACACACACATACATATATATGTATACCCATATATACATATAAAGAAAGCAATATTTAATGAAAATTTAATTCT